TGACGAATGAGGTGATCAGTGCTCTAGCGAATACAATGCGGGATCAAAATGAGGGCGTTAGACGGAATGCAATGGAAGCATTGAAAAAGATGGGCGAAAAGGCATGGACGAATGAGGTCATCAGTGCTCTAGCGAATGCAATATGTGATAAAAATGAGTATGTTCGAAACTGTGCATCAGAAGCATTGGGAAATATGGGTGAAAAAGCTGCGACGAATGAGGTGATCCGTGCTCTATTGAATGCATGTGTTGATATAGTACACGTGTCTAAACATGCATATCTATCTGAAGACGTATTGTCGAAGTCTCTTGTTCTCGCAATGTGTTCATATGAAGCCCTGCGGAGGCTAGACGTGAAAATGGTCGCAAAACTTAACTATTGTGTGAGAGAATTAGATAGTATGGATTTGACATCAATGCCCGTGGAACATTTGTTGAAGATTTACGTGTCAACAGAAAATGACGGTTGGCTTCCGTTGATTGCGTATGGTGCATTATTACAAGGGATAGCTTTAACTGCAATTGGTAATACTGTTAAAATCTACTTCGGTGGTGGGACTCATGTAGTGAATGTCTGTGATGACCAATTGATGAAGAATCTGGTAGGTGCTTTTAGCCGTCAGGCGCAAGTACTGAAAGGCCAATTTGAGGAATAGGCTGAAAGTGAAAGGTGTGTTCAAGATAAGTATGATTCCACGATGTTTTATGATATCGCTGGTGTTTGGCTGAAACAGAACCGTCATTGACTCCAAAACCTTTCATGATGAACTATTTTTGCTTGTCGTCGTTGCTTCTGTTTTTACTCTTGGTGATGTTCACAGTGTATAAATAATGCTGAAAAAATAATTAGATGAAGTTTTTCAGATTATAACGGTAGGGTGACGGTTTCCAATGATTTGGTTTGTTTATGTTTGATTCGGATATATCCTGAGGGTGTCGGTATGGGCCTGGGTGTGAATGTGAACATCGATGTCGGTGTGTCTATTATCTTCGCCCACACCCACACCCACACCCACACCCTGCTTGAACCTTAAATGGCTCTGAAGATGGTACCCAAATCTACAACCCTAAAAGTTCCCGTATGACACCTTTTTTTCTTTCTGAGCATCAGGCCACTCCAGTGTAGTCTGCTCTTAATTCACAGTTAAGATCGGCATTTTTTCGACTAAAGCCTCCCCCCCCCCACAATAAAAGACCCCTGGTCTTCTATTATGTTCCAGCATAAAAAGAATTCAGGGGATCTTGTATTAAGAGTCGGATTTTTTCTAATATTTAATTTAAAAGGTTTTCCAGAGAACTAAGGTGATTTTCGGGATTTTTCAGGGTTTTGGGTGGGTGTCGTTATAATTGTGAACACATTCTCTTAATATTTCCAGCTTAAAATGCTAAGAATCAGCCATAATTTGATGGGAAAACGCTAATTAAAGTTTGTAGTTAGTAAAAAAATTAATCGATTAAAGGAGGTTTTCTATTATGTCGGACAAACCTTTTCTTCAGGGAGTCTTCTATAATGGGGGGGGGGGGGGGGGGGGG